TGTGGAGCGTCATGTTTTGTAAAGTGCATTGGGGTGCAGAGGCACCTCAATGCACATAGAGCAAGTATGTTACCATGCATCTCAGAAACATACATTTAAGCGCACAATGCACAAGTGCCTGCGCTACCCTGACTTCTGCCTGGGCAGACTAGTGAATTGGAACCAATCAGCAGGGCCAGTGACAGCTACACAATTAGTTCCTTCTATATGCACTCACTGTGCATATAGAAAGAACTAATATAAATATTGTTGTTAAATAAGACAGTGCAGTGTTTTAAAATATAAATAAAAATAACTATTTCTCAATTAAAATAAATATAACTTAAAATCTGTGCAACGTTGTACCAAATAAAACCCTTAGATTCAAAGAAGAGGCCTTCCCAGATGTATGCAACTTTTCTATTAGAATAAATGCAACTTTTCTATTAGAATAAAGCTATCAAAACATACCTCCAGCCATGACATTTTTTGAAGGGTTTTAGGGTAGGTAAGGGTAGGTATAAACCTTTGTTGGATGTTTTATTGCTGTCTGTGTTCCCCTAGGAAACATTTACCTCGCTTTCAGACACAGTGAAGAGATGAAGGCAAATCTTGCCAATAGAAATGCAGGCATCAATAAATACCTTTACAAAACGAATCCTTCACCACTAAAATTGTATTGCTGTTTCTCTTTGTTGGTCAGATTTCCCATCAGTTGCTGTTCTGGTGACACTCTCCTACACCGTACTACATAGCTAGTCACCAGGACAGGAGGTAATGGGAAAAATTGGCAGTGGGGACACAGGCAGCAATAAAAACTGACAGAAATACTATCCTTAATGCTAAGTAAGGAAAATATATTTATTGTTAGTTAATGGACACAGGATTAGAAATAATCTGAGATAATTGGGTTATACTGCTGCCTACGGGGGTAATAGGATACTGGCAACAAAACAGTTGGCCAACCAAGTATAATTTGTGTCGACTCTTCTCTTACTATCAAGTCATCTAAATATCCCACAATGGGAATGCCCTGGGAGCATAGTAAGGCTAGCACTGGAATAGAACCTTAATTTTTACTCAAGGCATGGAAGACTGACCAAAAGGGCTACAAACTGGTACTGGTGTATGCCCATTGCAGGTATCGATGTGCTGGAATGATGGGGACATGCAAGTTCCCTCTGCTCTTCAAAGACTTCTGAATCAGTTAGGGATATTCAAGTTATCCACGTTGCCATGACCTTAGCAAAAGGAGTTCTGAGACAGTGGCCCTTGTAAAAGAACCCTATTTTTATTCTGTGCAAAGACAAGTTTTTTTTTTAAGGCCTAGAGCCTCCTTTCTCCCTAGGGTGGTTTCTTCTTTTCACCAGGATATTGTGCTTCCATCCCTCTGTGTGGCCCCTGTGCATCCTAACATTTCCCTCCATTGCTTGGATGTGGTGAGAGCTGTTTGTGTTTATCTCCCAGCGACATCTAACTTCAGGCAGACTGGTTCTCTTTTTTTCATTCCTGTTATGGACAACCTGCTTCTTGTTCCAACATTTCTTGGTGGCTTTGGCAGATAATAATACAAGCCTACCAGCTTTAGTATGAGGATCCCACCCCTCAGTTGGACTGCTTTTGGATGTCCCAACTGTTTCTGAATTATTCCTGATCCTGTCACCCTTAATGAATGATAAAAAACTGAATTATTTTCATTTTTTTTTACTCACCATCAAATCTATTTCTTAAACTTCAATAAGGGTGTCAGGGTACCCTGCACAGGCGTCCTCACACCACATGTAGGTACCCACGCAGGATGACCAAATTAATATGCCCACACAGGATAGGGTTCTATGCACACAGTTTATTTGCTACACAACAACAAAACTACAAACCCCCTCAACTCCCCACAGGTTTAGCAGTGACGTAATAAACCCACCGTTGGGACAAACACACACCTACAGCCAGGGGGAAGCAACAAGGAGGGGTAACAGGCCTGCAGATATATGGCAGGCCTCAGGATAAAAGAAGAGTGGTCAGGTACAAGTCGGGTCGTTAACAGGAGGGCAGCAGCACGGTACAGGAACAGGATCCAAGAGAGTGGTCGGGTAACAAGCCGGGTCGGTGACAGGTCTGCAGATAGGAAGCAGGGTTTCAGGAAGCAGGGTTTCAGGAAGCAGGGTTTCAGGAAGCAGGGTTCAGGTTTATGGGAATCAGTCAAGTGCAGGCGACGCAAATACTGAGCCAGCTT